CACACACACACACTGCTTTCCATGTGTTATGGGGACATTCCATAGGCGTAATGGTTTTTATACTGTACAAACTGTATTTTCTATCCCCTTACCCTAACCCTACACCTAAACCTGCTGTTTTAGATTTTCAAAAAACGTAATTTTCTATGAATTATAAGCTTGTTGGGGACATTTTGTCCCCATTACGTAGGGAATACCAGTACACATACACACACACACACACACACACACTGTCTTTACATGCTTGAACTCTGTTTGGGATTAGATGTTGGTTGTGTTGTGTAGTTTCTTTAGAGAATTATCACACGGACACAATGTTTTAACAATCCAAAAACACACACTGTAACTTACATTTGCATTTTTGGTAAAGCATATAAAGTATCATATAGCCTATATATTGTCTACATATTGTTTAGAAATAGACAATGTGAAAACCGAGCACAATATGAACAAAATATGCTATTATAAATGCAAAATATGCAATACAATTTTATCAATTTTAACAATTTTTAACAAAAACATGCCATTATTTATTTGTTTATTTAAGTACCATTTACGTTGTTGGTAAAGTGTATTTTGTGTGTGTATATGTGTGTATGTGTGTATATAGTTGTCTACATATAGTATACTTTAGAAATAGACAATATAGAAAATATATAAACAGAGCATAATATAAACAAAATATGTTTTTATAAATGCAAAATATGCAATATAATTTAATATTTAAATTCCATTTAATGTTTATATACTGTATCGTGTATAAATAAATGTATTTAATAAAATATAAAAAAATATATTTTGTAAAATTTTATTATAATGTTTTAATATAAAATATGGAGTAGAAATCTTTCTTTCTCTCTTTAGCTCCTGCAGAAGGTTCTGGACTGTCAGGCGAGGAGTTCTTCCAGAAGGTAAAAAACTGAAATAGTTCAAATAATACATCTAATATTAACCAGTGTTGTTTTAGTATTATTAATATCTTATTATATATTTGTTAACATTTTGAATTATATATATTGT